TGTCTCTGGTATCAGATTTGCTATGATACCAGTACACTAGCGATCAGTCCTTTTCATGATCTCAGTCGTAGCTCACTGTCTAGTTTTCATGCAAACGATGATATGACTTATTGGATGAGCAGTTTGAGATTATGATATGATAATAATGATGATGTGTAATCCAGGTGACGGCAATGAGTCGTTATGGTCATCGAGGACGTCGCTTGAACGGTTGTTACATAAATGGAAGTAGCACTTCGACGAGTAGTGCTATCTCGAATGGTTATGCAGCTGCTCTTCATACGAACAATGCAAATGGTTTGTGCCTTCATTTTTATCGTTCAATTTCTTGATTAGCGAAATTTTAATCGTGTAAATTTGAGGATCGATAGGTAGTCAGTCGTCGGCATGCACACAACAACAACCAAAGAATCCGAAGTTGTACAAAACTGAATTATGCCGATCGTGGGTGGATCACGGTCGTTGTAATTATGGTGACCGGTTGGTTCTATTACTATTGTTACTCTTCTTTCTATTAGTATTATTATTATTGTCATATACATATGTAATTGCAGATGTCAATATGCACATGGTGAAGAAGAGAAACGAACCATACCGCGTCACCCCAAATATAAANTAATTGCAGATGTCAATATGCACATGGTGAAGAAGAGAAACGAACCATACCGCGTCACCCCAAATATAAAACTGAATATTGTCAATCTTATCACGAGTCTGGCTACTGCCCGTATGGACCGCGATGTCATTTCATTCATAACGATGAACAACAACCTTCTGTCAACTCCACCCGAAACAGTCGTCTACCTACTGTTAATTTCAGGTATGTTTCTGGGTTATCGTTTTGAATGCTCATTTAGAGTTAACAACAAACGAATTTGTTTTATCTGAATATAAGGTACTAATTTATTGTCGTTGTTATTGTTATTGATGCTGTTTAGTGATTCTGATTTATTCTCATTTCAACGTCATTATTATCACTATTAGTGTTTTTTTTAATGGTTATCGTTTTAGTATCATTATTATTAGTGTCGTTATTATTTAGTAATGCTCTCTGACGAAAATTTTCAACGATTTTGATGATTATCAATTATTAACCGTTAGCAGATAATATCACCACATAATCAAAAAGAAGATAGTGGAAATACAGTCACAATGAAACAGTAATTGTGTTGTGTTGTATTGTTATTCAGCAGTTGCNAGATGAAATTGTTTTATTTGTGGTTATAAGGATACTTGTTGATGTTTAGCATGATGTTGTGCATGCATTATTGATGGTTTGGAGTTGATGGAACGAATTGATTGGTTCGGTTGTTTGCGCATTATTATTCATTAATGTAAATTTTAGTGGAGCTGCGTTAACGGTGGTGGGTAATGGTGCTGCATCGAATGGTGCGGTGAATGGTAATGCATTATCAGTGAAAGGTAATGGGAAGGGGAAAGAGTTGATTAGAGTGGATGGAACAACGACCTCAACATCACATCATACGTACAGTGGTTCGACCGGCGATTCGCCTGTTCCCAGTTCAACTGGCTCGGGAAGTGACAGTCCGGTGGGCTCGATTGATCTGGATGGCGAGAATTTTTGTGCGGCTGCTGCTACTGGAGCGAATTCGTGCTCTTGGAGCACCACGCTCACTTGCAATCCACAGCAACAGAACACTTCGGTGGGTGCTTATTGCTATGAATAATTGAGTGAGTAGTGGTCGATTGACTGACTGGTGGTCGATTTGTTGACTGATTGATAGGAGTCCGTATGATCATGCTTGGTGTTTTATGGAGTTTTATGTTTGTTGGGATGGAAGGTCAATATTGACATATCTTTTGGTGATGATATTTGCAATGGCTCTTCAGCGAAAACATTGACTCATTTGCAGTTAGAGTCGTTTTTTTTGATGCTCTTTGATTGATCGTTGTTTATTGAATTTGTTATTTGCATAACGTTCAGCTGAAGTGGTTGTGATTTATTCAGTCATTTGTTTATTCTCGTCACCGAGTTATTACGCTGTTCGCTTGTTATTGTTACTTTCATGAATGCAATCTCATGGAAATTCAACTGTGATCATTAGTTTGACATGAGTGAGAACATCATAATGTCACCTCGGAGATTGATCGAAATTTAACGATTGACCAAAGTTGACTATGACAGTGTTTCGAATCAACGAAAAGTTATTAGACTGCAAAGAGAATTTGTGTGGTGATAGAGGTAGTCGAGTAGTATGTGCTCGTTCGAGCTTGCTTCGCTATGCCCAACGATTAATGAGTTATGATGATTGTCGAGCTGCCGTACTCCTGTACAGATTCTGATACCTTGTTCCGTCATTAGGATTGTAACGTTCGGACAGTTAGTGTTTTTCGAAGAAATGGTTACTTTGAATGATGTGATTGCATGAACTCAACTCGCAATCGATCACAATAATTACCGATCGTGCTTCATTCATCGTTCACTTCAACTCTTCTTATTGATCAGATACAACAAACAATGTGAACTTTTCTATAGTGAAACGTTTCAGGCAACGTATTTCAACTGGCCTACGGCGACATCTTACAACAATGGCATTGATATATTCAGCGAGTCAACATCAACTGCAAACGGAATTCTCGGATCGTCGTTTAGTGTCACGAATGATTGGGATAATCATAGCATCAATAACAATAATAATGATGCTGCTTTATTGGTCAGTCAGTTCTGGGAATGGGGGGGTCTTCAAGATGTGCAATCGCCCACCTCTCTCTCGTCGCCCCAAAATTTCTCAGTTGGATCACCCACTCAACCGCTAACCCCGCAGTCCCCGCCGCAACAACCTAGACTACCTATATTTGCACAAATCAGTAATGCATCCTCGGTATCCTCCTCGCTATCATCCTGAAACTATCCGAGCTGATGTGCCAATCTCTCGTAATCCATCCATCTGTCATTAATGCCATTTAATATCCACTTCATTTTATAACCATTCAAAAACACCACCGCACACATTTCGTATCGCTATGTAATGTGCCCTTAATCACCCAAATAACTGAGCTGAACACACACACA